AATTATTTTTTTCAATTTTATTTTTTATGAAAAATAATCTTATGATTTGAAATTATGTTACATGTTTCACAACGAGAATATAAGTTGAGAAATTATTTACTATTTGAATATATAATTGGCACATAAGTTTCTGTTTAAGGTATATAACTTTATCATATCAATTAATTAGAGCATCATTTTTATTTTATACGAATGGAGAATATTGAATAAATAATTAGGTAAAATATAAAATATATTACCTAATTGAGTGAAAAATACACAAAAAAATAAAAGGTCTGCCAAATAATACCAATAAAAATATAAAAATATATGTTTTTGTAGTTTTTTTTTTAAATATTATAGTTAATTTGAAAAAAAAAATCTTACATGATGAAGCGAATAGTATGTTTAGTGAAATAATACCTCTTACTCGAGGAAATAAATGGTATGTTTAGCGAAATAATACCTATCATAAGAAAAAACATGTTAGGTCCTATAACAAGAATAGACTAATAAAAAGAGAGACTAAATTAATAGTAGAGAAAATTTGTTTAGCTCAATGAGATATTAGGAAAACTATATAACTAAGAATTACCAATAATAAGGACTTTTTTGAAGTTGTTGTGATATTTATATATATATATATATTTCATATTTGTTTTTGTGAATATAATTTAAAAATCGAAGATAATATAATAATTATTTATAAAATATATTAAAGATGTTAAATAATAAATTTAAAAGTTATGATAAATTTAAATACTCATATTAATTACAGATAAATTAGAAAAGATAAGTAATTACTTTAAAATTAATTTTAAATTGAGATGATATTATGTACTAAGAGAAACTTGATGTACAGGAAAAAATTTTATGAAGTTGTTTTAGTATTTATATATATATTTTTTATATTTCCTTTGTGAAATATATTTAAACATTGAAGATAATGTAAAGATTATTTATAAAAAATATTAAAGCTATTAAATAATATTTTTAAAAGTTGTGATAAATTTAAATACTCATGTTAATTATAGATAAATTAAAAAAATAAATTACTTTAAAACTGATTATAAATTAAGACGAGGTGATGTATAGGAGAAACTTTCCTGAAGTTGTTATAGTGTTTATATTTTTTTCTTTTTTTTTTTTGGGTGAAATATATTTAAAAGCTGAAAATAATACAAGATTTATTTATAAAAAATATTAAAGATATTAAATAATATTTTTAAAAGTTGTAATAAATGTAAATACTCATGTTAACATTAGATAAATTAGAAAAGATAAATAACTTTAAAACTGATTTTAAATTGAGATGAAGTGATGTATAGGAAAAAGAAATTTCATTAAAATTTAAATTGGTTTTTGATTAAAATTTAAAATTTTAGATAATTTAATAATTTTTAAAATATATTTTTTATATAATTTAAAATTAATAAATATCTTATATGTCATCATAATAAAAAATTTTAGAAATTATCTTATGTGTCAAAAAAATAAAATATCCACATAAGCGTCCACATTAATAATTGCTATTTGATAACTTTGTATATTGTAATATATATATATATATATATGATTTTATTTATTTTAAGAAATCATCCTCATCCATAATTTATTTATAGGTATAACAATCCTTATTTTAAATCTTTAGATTTTTCATTTAGTTAAATATTTTTTAACTTATGAAAAATAGTAAAGACAAGATAATAAATAGATTATTATGCAAATTTATTAGAACTTTTGAGCTTAAATCCATGTTTTAAAATCTAACATGAAACAATTTTTCTCTACAAACTTTAATATTAGTGACATGTGACTTTTAAAAAAATTTTTTAAAATTTTTCATTAAATTTTTTAATTTTAAATTACATAAATCTATTTATTCATGAGTTTAGACATTAATAAATCTATAATATTAATGAATTAAATTAATTGTGAAAGAATACATTTTATATTTCTTGTCATTTAAATTTCAAGACTAATTCGTATTGAGGTTTTTCTCATGCCCTAATACTTTTTAATCTTAATTCCTTAACTAAAACACTTTCAAACTTTATTGGTGGCAGTGACTTTGGTGGTAATGGGAATATGAACAGAAAGTTACTATTAAAGTTCTAAACTTGTATGGGTTTTGGTTGAAATGAGATAAGACGATAAGGTGCTTGTCATTCATGACGGATTTGGGGCAGTGTTTAGGCTTTCTGAAATGGGTTTTGGTTAGGGTTGTAGGTCGTGGAAAAGATAAAAGAGAAGGATTTGAAAAGGGAAGGAACATGTGCCTTTTCTTATATCCATTTGTTTAGGCTTCTTCGAGTTGAAAAAAGCTCTACAAAATTTGATTTTTTAAAAGATTTTTAAGTTGCATTTTGGAGTTGAGATATGGAGCAGAGATTTGATGGATTTAGAAGAATTAACAATTTACATTTTGAACATTTCATGAAAGTTGTATTTCAATTTGATTCAGGTATTTTCTGAATATTTTAGCTTGCAAGCACGACCTTGTAAGGAGAGACGGGATAGAGAAGTAAAAGAAGGAGAAGCTTACATGTAATAAAATACTAACATGAAATTTAATTGAGTGAAAATACTTATATTTTGAAATAAAATTTACAAGTGTTCTAATTAAGAAATTAAGATTAAAAAGTACCTTGGTTTGAAAAAAGATTCCATTAATATATATTATATTTAATTATTCATGAACTTAATCATTTATTAATTTATGGTATCAATGAATCTAATTAACTTTGAATGAATGTAATTTAATTATTTATGAATTTAGGCATTTATGGATTTATGGTATTCCTAAACTCATTTAATTATGAATGAATGTACTTAATGTTTTGTATAATTTAATTAAGTAATTATGAATCAAATCCAAATTAAATGAATCTAATTATTTATAAATTTAATAATTGATTAATATATGGTACCACGTACCCAATTAACCGTGAATTAATATATTTAATATTTAATATAATTTAAGTTTAATATATTTATTAGATAATATAAAAATTACCAATAATAAACTCGTCACATTATAAAAATAATATTTGCAGCAAAGCACGAAATATGACCTTGCATTTAATGTTTTTATGGATGCAGTTAACATATGTCAATAAAAACTATTTAGATTTTAGGGATAGTTGAAACATTATTTAAAAAATTTACATTGAATGTACTATTTTCACTAAATTTTTTTTTGAGCAAATTCCACATTCATCCCCTACAGTTTGCAACTTTCTCACTTACACACCTTTTATGGATTTTCTTTCTCATTTATAACCTTGTGATTTAAACAAAAAACGAAATTTTAGTAAAATTATAAAAATACCTTTATCTTTATTTTTAACACCATTACTTCCTTCTTTGTAATGGAAGTAAACCGCAGCGTTATAAGTGAAAAAAAAAAAAAAATTCATATGAAGTATAAGTGGAAAAATCGCAAGCTACAAAAAATGTATATGCAGTTTACCTTTTTTTAGATTTACAAAATTTAAAATTATTTTTTTCCATCAAATTAAAAATTCATTTAAATAAAACATTTTTAGAATTTTAAAATGTTGACAAAAATTTGCAGGAAAAAAAAAAAAAAAACAAAATCTCCATAATTTTTTTTTATATTTTCTCTTTCCTCTCCTTTATTTCTCACCCTCATTTTTCCAGACTGAGCTAGAGGTGATCGCCCCCAAAGTTCCCAAAATTAGCATATTTTAGAAAATGTACCAAAAAAAATATTTTTATCAAATATTATATAATTTGAAATAAACATTTTTATTTTTAGTAAGTTTTGTTGTTTTTATTTTTTAAATATAATAAATTAAATAAAAATAAAGTAAGTAATATACTCGTCAACTTACAATTATCTGTTGCGTATTTGAAATGTGCTGCCAACTGTCACTTAACATCAAACTTAACAAAAATTATAAATTAAAAAATTATTTTGTTACAACATTGAAAGTGTAAGAATCAATAAGTGATTTTTAAAAATATATGAACCAAAACGAAATGTGACTCAAAGTTTAGGAACTATAAGTGTTATTTACTCTATATTATTTATAAAATTTATTTAAGTGATTTCTAAGACCTAAAGGTAAAATTTTTTATTGAAATGTCTTAATATGAAATAAATAAAAAATTATTTATAGCTGTTCCAAAAAAGAAAAAGTGTTATATATTTCTAGGCTATCAAATTGAGATGGTGAGAGAATACTATTTTTCTTTTAATTAAGTGCATGGAAATTATTCTCTCACGGCCCATGTAGAAAACAAAGAAAAATAAATTACTTTAAAAATATAAAGGAGATGTTTCAACCTATGCGTTTTTTTTTTTTTTTTAAATGCTTGTACATTAATACAGTTGTATTTAATCGTATATATACAAGGGCAGAACCCTAGAGAAAGTAGGGCAACATATTGCTTTATTTGGCTGTACCAGAAGGAAAAGTAAAATACAGATGTGACAAAGATAAGAAGTAAACTATATCACACGTACGTTTTATGATTTTTGTGCATTATTTTGTTTTTATGTAAAATCTTTATAATTCAATTTTAAATTCATGATTTTTAAAAAATATTTTAAATTCATTTATTTTCGTTTATTATTATTAAAATATTATGAAATTTGCCACTTCAATGGCACGAATACGAATTTTTAATAGTGAATGATGGAACGAATAAATTTAGTTAAATCATGAATGATTGGTTCGACTATATAATTATCTATATTCATGAGAAAAATGTCTAAAGTAAGTATTTTTTGTTAAATTTTAGTTTATTTTTATTAAAATTTAAGATAAATATTCAACTTAGAATCAATTAATAATAATTAAAGGGTTTTTTAATTTTATTTACGTGCTTACATTACTGCCAATTGGAATTTACTTTTTCTCTGCTCAATTTTTTTTTCCAATGATCGAGATTTTGAAATTATATTCAACGGGCAAAAAATATCTTCTTGTTTGTTCCACATTGAATAGTCATTTCCAACATAATGAAATTATCTGCTAATGGTTGAGAAAAAATTTTGTATAATTAAATAGGGTAGGCAATAATCATGTGATTTATAAATAAAATATTCGAATTTTAATTTTAATAATTATGGTTCAAATTCTAGCAATCTCAACTGTAAAAAAGAATAAATCATGTTTCGTGCATGTAGAAGAGTGCTAATTAAATTTGCTTGTGGGGTTAAAAGTCAACCTAACATCTTCTCAAATTGATCGAGTCCCTTCACCCTTTGCATTGACATAAGAACCAGAGTCATGAAAACCCCTGCAATTTTTCACCAATTAAAGATAAACCAAGTATCAGCCTGGAGGGAGGGAGATGAAATAAATAACATATATTGATTTCAAGGTTACAGGGGAAGGAGGGAACATGCATGTCATGCTCACCTGCTCCAATGAATGATACTTCTGCAATAAGTTGGCATCCTTCGATACTAAGAATGGCCCCTAGGTTTAGTAAAGAACCTCCCAGTACTGTGAACATGGCTGCCATTTGCAGTATTCTTGCTTTTCTTGCTGCTCTCTCTGACTGGTAAATTAAGTAATTTCATATCAGAACTTAGCACAAATAAAATGAATTCAATTGGTTAGATGTCATATAGTATGCTCAAACTTTTTGTTTGATTGACCTAAATTAATTTGAAATAGATTTTCTTCTAAAAACATTAGAATAATGCAATTAAGAATTGAAAAATCATGCACCTGAACATTTGGCTCAGTGCATGTATATCTGCTCAAAGAATTGGATTCAAATCTTTCATTTCCTCCCCAAAAATTAAGAAACTGGAAAATCAATTTTTTAATCTTTTAAATATATATATATATATATATATATATCATTTCTTTATCCATGCAATCAAGAAGCAACTAATCGAGTTTTCAAGTAATTAACTTTAAAAACTTTTATAAAACATTTTAATGCTACTTCAATTGCAATTTTTCCTTTTTATACTAAAAATCAGAAACTCAAACAGATCGATCTTGCATTAATTCCTAGCAGAAATGGAATGTAATTTTCAAATAAACATAACATACAATATATACCTCTGGTACCCGGACATGGAGTTTTAAATCTCCTGATTCAAGTTGTTCCACAATTTCTTCTATTCTTTGAATTCTGTATGGCATTGACATGGTGTAAAACCTAGCCTGAAATATAAATCAATCTCAACATAACAATATTGTCAGATCAAACATATAAAATTTCTACTAGTTGGTATAGAATATCTAGAACGAAGAACAAAAAGCTGAAGCAATTGGATCGAACATGGACATTACATCATTAGCTTGTTTCCTGATTTGGTCCACGAAATCCGTCCCAGTTTGCTGCTCTTGTCTGATATCTAGAAGCTCCTGTTTAAATCAAAGCATAAACAATTAATGTTGTGGATTTAACATCTCAAAAAGTCATCATGAACGGGGGAGAAAATCCTGATCATCCAGGGGGATATAGTTGAGAACCTGTGCGTATGGTGCAGCAATCCTTGCAATGGAAAAATCTGGATCCAGCATGTATCCTATTCCTGCAAGGGAATTATGACATGCTCAAAGCTGCAAAGCAATGACCAAAATGAAAATTTTGATTTATGTATATCTACAGCAAAGTTTGATTTGCCTAGTTGACCAACTTCAAATATAATTCTGGATGAATTTGGGGAGAGACAGATTCGAGTTGGACAGAACCTTCTAGTGTAGAAAATGCCTTCAAAACAAAGATAAGGGTGGATGGTAACCGCACTGGTTGATCCTGAGCTATTGCAAACAAATCCTGCAGGAGATCCAAGCAATTAGTTGAAAATAAATCTACTTCTATTGGTTTTTTTTGATAATTGAGGTTAATAAAATTTGAAGCTTGATCACCGAAATTATGATTCCAATATTTTATCAACAGATCATACAGCTGTTGGCAAGTTACTTTTATTTTGTATAGGTTGTTATTTCTAGATGCTTAATTGACTGGACACTTTTCTGGTATAGAATGTTAAAAAATGACCAATTTATGTACAGTTTTCCACCCCCACCTCTCCGATAGCTGCCACAGTAGTCTCTTGATCAGGCTTCTGGTTCATTAAATTATCCAAAACGAATTGTACCGATCTTCTCACCTACAGGAGTAGAATTAATTGGACAAATTAGTTAAAGAAGGATAAAACAAGAGTATCCCTTTGACCCATTTTTTACTTGCATTTGATAATTGTATGTATTGATCGGAAATGTACCGATGACATATCTCCTTTGGGCTCAAGTACACCAAGATCTATGAGGCTGTGGATAACCTGCATGGTTGTTATCGGGGATGCATCACGAATTCTCAATATGAGATCGGGAATGTTACATGCAGTAGTATCAATTATAGAAACCAAACCTTTCTTGTGTCCTTCTCATACACCCTATAAAAAAGTTGAACAAGTTTGTCACGTGTAAGAGATTTGATCTCCCCCATCATACCAAAATCGTAATAAATGAGTGCTTCATTGTCATCAATAGCAAGATTTCCAGGATGCGGGTCAGCATGAAAGAAGCCATTTTTCAGTATCTGTAAAATATCAACCAGACAAACCACCCCCCCCCCCCCCCCAAAAAAAAAAAAAAGAAAAAAGGCAAATTATAATTCCTGTTGCATTTGGGATTGTACTGTGAGAGGCAAAAATCTACTTGATGACCTGAATCAAGTATGCTTGAATGGCAAGCGAAGAAATCCGAGAACGATTAAATCCCCTTGAATCCAATGCATCCAACTCATTTATCTTAATGCCTGCAATTAACCAGCATAATTGAACTTATTGCGAACACTTTCATCCTGTCAATGAACGAAAGAAATTAAATTATATAGTTAAATTACAAGGAAGTTAACCTGGAATATACTCCAACGTCAACACCTTTGTGGCAGTGTAATCCCAAAACACCATCTACAGAGAGGGAGGAATTTCCTTCCAAGTAAAAATGTGATTGAAGAAAACAAGAAAGTAACTAAAACGTACAGGATTCGAAGTTAGTGAAAGATATATAAGGCAAGAAACATACAGGAACTCGAACCCATTTTACATTCCGAAAGTCTCGACGAAACCAATCAGCATTTTTTCCTTCGTTTATATAATCGAGTTCTTCATACACAATCCTGAAATCAAACAAAATTAAGTGCCGTCATGCTCTTTTATTGTACACTTCTTTTTTCTTTTTTTTTGTATTTACGTGTACACAAAAAAAAAAAAAAACCGTCAAACTAAATGGGAGATTTTTTTTTTGGCCAAACAATTGGAGATGTTAAAAATTCCACAAAAAATTTGATGAATATCTATTCATAATGCAAGCCGTGTAATCCATATTTTAACATCTAAAAATCCATTTAGATGGATAATAAGATTGATTTTAATGAAATTAAAATAATGATGAAAGTGAAATTGATTATTATAATGGTAAAATTAAAATTAGTTGTGAAATATTTGTTTAGATGTAAAACCAATGGTGATGATAAAATCATTTGTAATAAAAAATACTTTTAAATACATTAGATTAATATCTTTAGTGATTATTAGATTAAAGTTATTTATTCATATTAAATTAAAAATGTTTATTTACTTTATAATTTATATAGTTATTTATTTAATTATGAAGATGTTTATTTATTTGTTATTTTGTTATAACAAAATTTATTGATTACATTGAATTGGTAAAGTTATTTAATTTTTTTAAATAAAAAAGTAAAATGCAAAGAGAAAAAGAAAAAGATTGAACATAGGGATATTTTTATCCCTACTTTATATCTTCAAAGGTCCAAAAAAAAAAATTGACAAACTTGAAAGAAATAACCGCGTTTAGAAAAATAAAATAGTGTTTGGTTTTAAAAAATAAAGTCATTTTTTGTTTTCATTTTCTTAAAAAATAAAAAATATGACTGAAAATGTGTTTAATAATTGAAAATGAAAATAAATTTTTAAAAAATAAAAATGAAAATAGATTGAAATATTAAAATAAAAAAATATTTTTAATTATGAAAATAAGGGATATACATTGCTTTTTTATATATATTTTAAAAGTTATCATATTTGAACACTTTTTAATATCATTAATTACTAAATATATATTATATTTATTATTAGATGACATTAATAATAATATCATTAAATATTTTATTTATTTGCTTTTTTTTGTATTTTAAAAAAATAATTTTTATTTTTATTTTTCAAATACATTTTTAAAAAATAAAAAATAAAAACAAAAAATATTTTCTCAAACCAATCGATCTGACCTTTTAGAATGAAAAAATAAAACTACGACTAATCGTGCCTCACTGAACATTCATTTGAACCTAGACGGTGACTTTTGGGTTATATTGCATCTTGTTAGGAAAATGGGGTCCAGTCCCATGTAAGTGGTTTTGGACCAAGTAAAGGCCATGGGCCTTGATCTTTTATTTTACACAGAGCCCTAGCTACTTAATAAAAAAGAGGTGGGGTTGTTTAAGGTGTGTGTCGACAACCAAGCAGAGAAAGAAGAAAAGCCAGGAAAAGCAGAGAGAGAAAAAAGAGAAGGGAGAGTTGGTTAAACGGAAGTCGATCCGTGGTCCGATTGAGTTGAAACCTTGTCAGGAGGTTTATGATTTAGAGTTATACATTCTGAACGGTGAAGATCGGGTTTGAAGCTATCTAGGAACAAATCCAGGGTGTATTTGTTGAGTCACTTATTTGGTGAGATTTCTCCAATTGTTTCTCTAGTTGTTGATTAGCTCTAGTTTTAGCTAGAGAAGAACTTTGTATAACTATTATTTGATAGTGAAGATTTTTCTGGTGGCCCGTGGTTTTTTTCCTCTACACTGGAGGGTTTTTCCACGTAAATCTTGGTGTGCTTTATTTTTCCTGCGCATTTGATTATTGATTGTTGTCTATTGCTTCTGTATTGTTGTGATTATTGCTTCAGGCACAACAAGTGGTATCAGAGCGAGAGTTATTTTGAGACATCGATACAGAAGTAACCCAGGATAGAAGTAAATTCTGTTTGAGATCATGAAAGGTGATACAGGTTCCATGCTAAAATTGACAGCATCAAATTATTCAATTTGGAAGCCTATGATGGAGGATCATCTATACTGCAAAGATTTGTATGAGCCAGTATTGGGTGATTCGGCTAAACCAGCAGATATGAAAGATGAAAGCTGGAAGAAGCTAGGTAGAAAGACGCTGGCTACAATCAGAAAATGGGTTGATATCAGCGTGTTTCATCATGTAGCGCAGGAGTCAGATGCTCACATTGTTTGAGAAAAATTGGCAGCATTGTATGAGAGAAAAACAGGTATGAATAAAGTTATGCTTGTTAAGAAGATTGCAACTTTACAGTACAGGGATGGACGATCTGTTACAGAGCACTTGAGTAATTTTCAAGATATATTTAATCGGATGACTACTATGGAACTTAAGATGGATGATAAAATGAAGGCATTATTTCTTTTGGGTTCATTATCAGACAGCTGAAATACTCTAGTTGTGACTGTTCTTAATTCAGCTCCTGATTATAAGGTGACATTGGAGATGGTAAATGACAGTATGCTTAATGAAGAAGCGAGGCGAAAAGATGTAGACCCTGAGAATCAAGCTCTGGTCACAGAGAACAGGGGTAGAAACATCGACAGAGGTCAAGACTCAAAAGGTCGTGATAAATCTAAACATAAATCCAAGTCTAGAGGTAAAGTGAAGTGTTTCTATTGTGGTAAGACGGGTCATATAAAACGAAACTGTAGAATCTTAAAGCAAGAGCGAAAAGATGAGAAAGACAAGAGTTCAGATAATGGCAATGTTGCAGCAGTGAATTCAGATAGTGATTCAGTTACTTTGATTTGTACACATGGTGATTGTAATCATGTTAGTGATCCCGGCATTGAGTGGATAGTTGACACAGGAGCGACATATCATTGTGTTCCTAAGAGAGAGTTGTTTACAACTTACAAAGCAGGAGACTTTGGTTGTACCAAGATGGGAAACAAGAGTGTGTCACAAATTGTTGGGATTGGTGATATTGTTGTACAAACTAGTACAGGCTGCATGTTGACTTTGAGGGATGTCAGACACATTCCAGATATGAGAATGAACTTGCTTGCTATTAATGTCCTTGATAAGGAGGGATATGAAAGTCGACAAAAGAATGGACAGTGGAAGCTTCTCAAAGGATCTATGGTAGTTGCAAGGGGAAAACTATGCTGCACAATGTATAAGACATGGATGCAATTGAACGATAACCAGGTAAATACCGTTGAAAATGATGCTTCAGCAAACTTGTGGCACAGGAGGCTGGCACACATGAGTGAAAAAGGGTTACAAGTTTTGGCAAGGCACTCTCTCATTCCCTTGACCAAAGGTATGTATCTCGATTCATGTGATTATTGTTTGTTTGGTAAGCATCATAGAGTTTCTTTTCGTAAAAGTTCTCAGAGAAAAGAAAATAGATTGGAATTAATTTATTCTGACGTATGTGGTCCTATTGAGGTTGAGTCATTAGGTGGTAGCAGATATTTTGTTACTTTTATTGATGATGCTTCACGTAAGACTTGGGTGTATATGTTGAAATATAAAAGTCAGGTACTGCAGTATTTTCAAAAATTTCATGCCATGGTTGAAAGGATGACAGGGTTACCCTTGAAGTGTATTCGAACTGATAATGGTGGGGAATACACATATAAAAGCTTTGAAGAGTATTGCTCAAAGCATGGGATCAGGCATGAGAGGACAGAACCTGGAACACCGCAGCATAATGGTATAGCTGAAAGAATGAATCGCACCATTGTGGAAAAAGTCAGATGTATGTTGAGGATGGCAAAATTACCAAAGCCATTCTAGGGTGAAGCAGTCAACACAGCTTGTTATTTACTTAACAGGTCACCATCAGTTCCTTTGGGCTTTGACATTCCAGAAAGAGTGTGGACAGGAAAAGATGCTTCATACTCTCACTTGAAAATTTTTGGGTGTAAAGCATTCATGCATGTGCCGAAAGAGCAGAGATCAAAGCTTGACAGTAAAGCTACACAGTGTGTGTTTGTAGGATATGGTGATGAGGAATTTGGCTACAGGGTATGGGATCCAGTAAAGAGAAAGACAGTCAGAAGCAGAGATGTGATCTTTCATGAAAAAGAAACCATAGCAGACCTTGAGAAAAATGAGAAGACTACACGAGTTACTATTGAGTGTGATGTTTCAACACCGATAGGAATTTCACAGGAAAGAGCCACAGATGGTGAAAATGAGCCAGAAACAGAACTTGGGGATATGGATGAGCCAGCTACAGTTGGTGATGAGCCAGATGCTATTAGTTTTGAGCAGGGGGAGCAATCCTTTCTACCTGAGAGTGTTGAGCAGGGAGAGTTACCTTCGGCATCAAGTGATGTAGAGTCTCAGCCTAGGAGATCTACTAGAGAGCGCAGGCCATCTACCAGGTATCCAAGTTCAGATTTTATTTTAGTTACCAGTAAAGGGGAGCCAGAAAACTTTCAAGATGTGCAGGCTACTCCGGATAGAGAGCATTGGTTAAAAGCAATGAAAGAAGAGATGGAGTCATTGCGAAAGAATGGTACTTATGATCTTGTTAAACTTCCAACAGGAAAGAGGCCATTAAAGAATAAATGGGTGTTTAAGTTGAAAAAAGATGGTGACAAACTAGTGAAGTACAAAGCTCGATTGGTAGTAAAAGGTTTTTCTCAGAAACCAGACATCGATTTTGATGAGATTTTTGCTCCAGTTGTAAAAATGAGTTCTATTCGAGTGGTACTGGGATTGGCAGCTAGTTTGAATCTTGAGCTTGAGCAACTTGATGTTAAAACTGCATTTTTGCATGGTGATTTGTAGGAGGACATTTATATGAATCAGCCTGAGGGTTTTGAAGTGAAAGGGAAAGAGCACTTAGTTTGCAAATTGAAGAAAAGCTTGTATGGCTTGAAACAAGCTCCGCGACAGTGGTACACAAAGTTTGATTCTTTTATGGTGAGTCATAGCTATAAAAGAATAGCAGCAGATTCTTGTGTGTATATTAAACAATTCCCTAATGGTAACTTCATTATCCTATTATTATATGTTGATGATATGTTGATTGTAGGACAAGATGCTAGTATGGTTTGCAGGTTGAAAGAACAATTGTCTAAGTCCTTTGATATGAAGGATTTAGGTCCAGCAAAACAGATTCTTGGTATGGACATTATCCGAGATAGGAGAGCTGGAAAGCTGTGGTTGTCACAGGAAAAGTATGTTGAACGAGTGCTTGGTAGATTCAACATACAACATGCTAAATCAGTTAGCAGTTCACTTGCCAACCATTTTCATCTAAGTAAGAAATCTTGTCCAGTGTCTAAGGAAGAGCAACTAACTATGTCTAGTATTCCTTATTCTTCTGCAGTCGGTTCTTTAATGTATCTTATGGTTTGTACAAGGCCTGACATTGCTCATGCAGTTGGTGTAGTGAGCAGATTTCTTTCTAATCCAGGAAAGGTTCACTGGGAAGCAGTGAAATAGATTTTTAGATATTTGAGGGGTACCTCAAAAATGTGCTTGACTTATGGAGTTTCACAACCAGTTCTAGAAGAGTTTACTAATGCTGACATGACAGACGATCTTGATGGTAGGAAATCTACTTCAGGGTATTTGTTCACTTTTACAGGAGGAGTTGTATCTTGACAATCTAAGTTACAGAAGTGTGTTGCTTTGTCAACTACAGAGGCTGAGTATATTGCAGCAACTGAAGCATGTAAAGAAATGCTTTGGATGAAACGTTTTCTTCTTGAATTAGGGTTGAATCAGAAAGAGTATGTGGTATTTTGTGATAGCCAGAGTGCTTTAGATTTGAGTAAGAATACCATGTACCATGCTAGAACAAAGCACATTGATGTTAGATATCATTGGTTACGTTCAGTGATTGAAGAACAGCAGATGCTATTGAAGAAAGTCCATACTGATAAAAATGTGCCAGATATGTTGACTAAGATACTTCCCAAGAAAAAGCTTGAGCTTTGCAGTAACTTGGCCGGAATGAGTTCTCTGGCCAAGGTAAGTTCCAAATGAAACTGCTATGGTGATGAATCTCCTCCTAATGGGGCTGGAGGGGGAGATTGTTAGGAAAATGGGGTCCAGTCCCATGTAAATGGTTTTGGACCAAGTAAAGGCAATGGGCCTTGATCTTTTATTTTACACAGAGCCCTAGCTACTTAATAAAAAAGAGGTGGGGTTGTTTAAGGTGTGTGTCGACAACCAAGCAGAGAAAGAAGAAAAGCCAGGAAAAGCAGAGAGAGAAAAAGGAGAAGGGAGAGTTGATTAAACGGAAGTCGATCCGTGGTCCGATTGAGTTGGAACCTTGCCAGGAGGTTTATGATTCATAGTTATACATTCTGAACGGTGAAGATCGGGTTTGAAGCTCTCTAGGAACAAATCCAGGGTGTATTTGTTGAGTCACTTATTTGGTGAGATTTCTCCAATTGTTTCTCTAGTTGTTGATTAGCTCTAGTTTTAGCTAGAGAAGAACTTTGTATAATTATTATTTGATAGTGAAGATTTTTCTGGTGACCCGTGGTTTTTTCCCTCTACACTGGAGGGTTTTCCATGTAAATCTTGGTGTGCTTTATTTTTCCTGTGCATTTGATTATTGATTGTTGTCTATTGCTTATGTATTGTTGTGATTATTGCTTCTGGCGCAACACATCTAACTAGAGGTGAGATTGAAACCAAATCCATCCTACATCAGCTCACTTGTAATTCAGGACGTGAAACTTTTTTTCAAATATTGTATATATTACCTTTTATTTTAGATTAAATTTCATCAATATTTAACATTATTCTATTTTGATTAAAATATTTTTTATTAATTAATGGAGCCCGTATTTTATTATAGGAGTCACCCAAACCTTAAAACAAAAGTGAAATTACGCCAAAAATCTCTACACTTTGTCAAAATTTGAAAGTTAGTTATTCTATTAAAATTCATATAAATTTATTTTTTTTATATTATTTTAATTTGATAATTTTAATTCAATAATTAATTTCATTAATTTTTTATTGTTAAAAATGCTGACATACCGTTGACTGACATGAATGTTCTTTTTACTGACATGATGACTTTATTGATGTGGTAATTTAGATAAGTAAAATTAGTTATCAATTTATGCAAATAATTCATGTATTTACATGAAATTTAAACTTTAGTCTATCTAGTATAATTTTATAAAAATTTCATTCTTGTACAAGATGAATTTGATAATATTGGTTCAATTATTAATAAAAAAAAAGATATATTTTTTTACCTTTTTTTTTAAATCATATTTTAATTTTTTAGAAATTTTTTCAAAATTTTAAAATATTAAATTTAATATTTAAAAAATGTTTTAATTTTTAAATCATATTTTTTTTAATTTTAAAAAATCGGAATTTTTTTTCTTAAAAATTAAATTAAATTTTTAAAAATTTTCTTATTTTTTGAAATTAATTATATAAAATTTGCAATATTTAATTTTTTAAATTTTTTTATATTTTTCAAATTTTAACATTTTATTTTAAAAATATTTAATTTTAATTTTTTTATTTTTTTTGAAAATTTTAAAAAATTATATATTTTTTATAAATATTTATATATATTTTTTAAATTTTTGGTGTTTCTAAAAGAAGTTTATAAGTTTTAAAAATTTTTTACACGTTTTTTTTTATGTTTTTCAATGAAGAATAAATTGAAATAAAAAAACTCTTCCTACTTTGACATTACTTTATTTTACTTTAGATTTTTATACTTTTTCAGCTCAAATAAATCAAAATAGAACAAATTCTAAAATCTCATGCCTTCTTTGTAATTTATTTATTTATTCATTTAAATATTAATATATTTAGAAAACATAAAAATTTAATAAAAATTCCAAAATATTTAAATATATTGATTAAATAAAATGTGAAATTTTCAAAAAATGAATTTTATTTTAAAAAATTATAATATTGAAAAAAGTAAATTTAATATTGTAAAAATATCTAAAAAATTTAAAATATTAAATGTTTTAGAAAATAAAATCTGATTTTACAAAAATCCAAAAATTATGATTTTTAAAAATTAAGTATTTAATAAATGTGTAAATTTAATATTTTAAAAATACAAATAGTTTCTAAAAAAATAGAAATATTAATTTTATTTAAAAATAAAACCTATTTTAAAAAAAGTAAAAAAAAAGGACTTTTATTAGTAATTAGACCAATATTATTAAATTTATTTTGTACAAAAATAAAATTTTTATGAAATTATATTAGAAAGATTAAATTTTAATTTCAAATGCGTATAAAAATCATTTAAAGAATTTAACAATTGATTTTATAAATTCAAATTATCACATCAACAAAGACAATATCATATTAACAAAGTTAATACCCAATCATCAAGTCAATGATCATGTCAATATTTTTAATGATAAAAAATTGATAAAATTTATGATTAGATTAAATTTATTAAATCAAAATAGTATGAACTTTAAATTTATATAAATTATAATAAATAAACTAAAATTTGAATTTTAACAGAATATGAGCATCTCTAGCATAAATCGACCCCCAAAAAATGATCAATCAATAAAATTTAAAATTTAAACTAAAAATAATAAATTTAACAACCTAACAAAACTTAATATGTTAAATTTGAATAAAAAATATTAGCACTAACTTTTATGATTAATAAAGGCCTTATAAATTGTAGTAATTAATATCATTAAATGAAGGAAGAGTATCTTTAAATTTATTAATTACCCACTTACTTTTCACACTCTTTGTATATACCAATCCAATCCCTTGTGCCAAAAGTCTCATTTCTCTGAAAATACTCCGCAATTAGCTTTAAATTTCCTGCGGAAGGAAAAGGAGGTTACTTGATTAAGACAAGGAAACTATTTAACAGCCACTAGCAATATAAAACTTTCCAGAGTCAAATGAAGAATTGTCGAGTCGACAACCACAACCACTTGTTGTATTAAATAGAAAGAGGCCGGCTCAACTCTTATATTGGTTTCTTTAATATATAATAACAATAATTATTCAAATAAATATATAAAAAAAATCACAAACGAATATAGTAGTCGAACCAAACTTTCACATGATGACCAGACTTTTTGTTTTTTTTGAGACAACACAACGTTCTCTATTATTATTATTATTATTATTATTAAATAAAATATTAAAGATAGATAGTTGAGTCATCAATCTTATCTAATCTTATTAAATTACGTGCACACTAAAAGAAAAAAGGCGTTACGTACTGAAATCAATATCAAAAAGCTTCTGCAGCCCAGGCCTTTGAACTTTTACAACAGCTTTCTCCCCATTGTGCAGTATAGCTCGATGTACCTATCAAATTAGGCGAAGTTTGGCATAATAAATTTACAGATATTGTCTATTGTTGACTAGACAATTCTTAAAAAAAAAAAATTGTAGGCTGACGTAGAGAAAATCTTTTAATTAAATTTAAATCAACATTTGATTTTTATCATTTTATTATAATTAATTATATTTTTAAATATTTATTTTTATTTAATTAAATTCATATTAGATAAAAATTGATTAATTTTCATTCAATTTATGGGTTAATTAGATTAAAGTTTAATTAATTGCAATAAAATAATGGAAACTGAAATAATTATTTAATTTTAGTTTAAAATTTTTTTGTTAAAGAGAGAATGAAAAATAACCATCTAAAACTTTATTTATTTTAAAAATGTATTGGTAAATTATTTATATATATTTTAATATTATTTATGACATTTAAAATCTTAAAATTTTTATTCAATCAAAATATTAATACATATTATTGATTAATTTATTATATAATAATAAAATTTATTTATTTATTAGTTTATTATATAATGATAAATTTTATTTATTATATTCAATTAAAAAATCACCTTAAAATTTTTAAATAAAAAAATTTCAATGAAAAAAAGAATGAAAAAAAAAAATTAAAGGTTGAATGATACGGATATTTTTGTTCAATCATTGCAACTTTAAGAGAAAAAATCTTCTTTTTTTTTTTTTTTTCTATCAAATTAATTTGAACCCAGCTCTGTATGTTTTAATTATTTCTTGAGCTTTAATATTTTCTCAATGATCTCAAACTTATTTGAGGAGTTTGAGTTGGGGCAATTTGGATCCCAACTTTCCCTCAAGCATAGAGATCCGACGTACTTGCCTGACCAAGACTAGCTGCAGCAATTGGTTGGTCGTCAAACTCCTTGAATAGCTCTTCGATGGGAGCTCCTAGTTCGCTCTCAATGAATCGTCGTGCTTTCTCTGGTGAGAATGCAGGGACCCTATCCTACATTCAAGAAAAAAAATTGCATAAAGTTTTTATAAACGAGAAATTATATGTAAAAACATTGTTCACAACCAGCACAGACAGACAAAGGGTTACCTGCAATTTGGCAAGCTCATTGACAAACTCACGGGGAAATAAATCTGATCTTGTCGAAAACAATTGTCCAATTTTAATGAAAGTTGGACCAAGTTGTAAGACTTGCTCCCGTAGCCATGAGCCAGTTCTTTTCCTTCTCTTTTTCTGTTAACAAATCATGTATATATGTGATCAGACAGCAAGATGATATGTGATCAGACAGCTGAAAAACTCACCTGTTCATCTTCTGAGAAACCTCCTAAGTAAGTCCATTTTGCGTTGTCAAAGAGAATTCGAGTACGCAGGGAAATAACAAAAAACCAAACATCTATAGTCCTTAGCCAAATGTTATAATTATCATTGGCCCAACTGAAATTTTCATCTGAACCCAGAACCTTAAGCTCTTTTTCTGAAAGTGGATGTTCTTTACGCTGTCTGAGTTTAGTTTTTGTCAGTACCTCACTCACAGGTACCATTTGAATAGCTTGTCGTTTTGTAGCTAACCCTGAGGGTGACTTGTTCTGCTGCTGCATTTTCACTTGAAGCCTGATTGCTTTATCTTTACCTACCACAGGCAGACAAGAAGTTTGCCTCTCAAACTTTCCAAATGGACTTGAAATTGAGCTTGATAAATTCATGGCTCTCTTCCTTTATTCAGCTACTCGAAAATCTACTGTTGCATCAGAATAGCAGAGGACAGAAACACCTGTAAAATAAAACTTACAAAGAATTAGTGAACAGACCACGAATTTCTAACAAATTAATAGACTTTTTAATAAGAAAAAAACAATCAATTGCAGAGACAACCGAAATTAACATACTGAGATCAGGCTGACCGACTGAGGAAGAAGGAAGAACAAAGAGATCAATATATAGGGGTTGTGTAAAATTAACAATCGTGATTTTTTTTAATGTTTTATTTTCATTTTTAATCTTTAAAATTTATATTTAGCATTACTATCTTTGCTAATATATTATTTTCATTCACGACCTTTATTAATATTTATCTTCGTTCGTAGCTTAAAAAATTGCATTTACCGTCCCCCGACGCTTTGAAAGATTTCATCATTCATTATTATTATTATTATTATTATTTTTTGACTTTTCTCCGAATCTCATAACATTTTTTCACATAAAAATATGTTTTATTCTAACCAAAAAAAAAGAAAAACTAAAAACTCGGGCTCTTTATTCCAACTCGCGTCTTTAAAACGTGTGCAGTTGGTAAGGAAAAAAAATCGTTATGTCAACATCAGATTTTTATGACGGATTCAACAACCGACGAGAAAAGCGAAGAAAATAGAGAATTCAATTCGAGAGAGGATCTGTTCGTTGCTTAAAAAATAACGAAAATTTTTATTGTTTTATTTAAAGCAATATATACATTTTTAATTAAATTTAAAGTTAAAATTTATTCAAATTAATTTTGTTTTTTAATTTATCTATTTATTTTTATATTTAATTTCAAATCATTAGGTTTTAATTTTAAATTTAGTTGCAAAAATTTTTATTATTATTGGATAAAGTTGTGAGAACTTTTACTTTTTTAAGCAGTAGAGAGAACTCTTTCTTAATTTAAAAAAAACAAAATAAAAATAAAACATGGTTTTCAAGAGGTTTTAGCGATGAGATTTTATATTTTAAAATTTTAAATTGATATAGTTTAAATATTAATAAAAATAATATATAAATATAATAAAAATAAAAAGAATTGTATTTGGTATATTAACATAAATTATAATATAAAATTTTTTGTATTTTGCGTATGTTTTATACTAAATAAATATAAAAAATATATGAATTATCATGTCTAGAGTTTAATTGCTATAGTGATTTACTTTTATATATTTTCGAGTTAATTTTTTCTTCTTTTGTTAATAAGAGAATTCCAGCTGCATTATTTTTTTGCCTTCATTGTGGACAACTTAGGCTGGAGTCAATTTTTTTATTCAAACAATATAAACATTGGAAGGAAATGTTGGGGGCATTTAGTGATCAAGAGGGCATACTAATATTTTTTCTATGTTAAAAGCCTTCAGTAGATAACCAAAGGTAATTTTAACATTTGTGTCAATTTGACATGTCAGGTCAGTCTGACATTCTCAGTGTCATGTTAGTTCGATAGTGTCTTTATTGTCCTCTAATGGTCCCCCATCATGTATCTATAAATATGAAGGTCTAGGCACCATGAAAGTAACACACATCACTCAATCTTTTCCTTATTACTTCTTTCTGACCTCATTTTTTTTGGCTTACAGGTTGGAGTGCAAACACTAGAAACATTCCTTGCTTTTACCTCTAATCGCCTTTCTTTTTTGTCTTTCTAGTAATACCTTAAGACAGAAGCTTGGCACAAATATTTTGGCATGCCAAGTAAGGGTCTTTTTTTTCATTCATTAGTCGAGTACAAAGCAATGCTATCAAGAAAAAGAACCTCAGAGGAAAGAGAGACGATTGTCTTGGTTGGCATAGAAACCTATTATAGCCAACATTTTGTCCGACTTGTCCAACCACAGGTGGATCACCATGGAACAATTCCAAGCATTGATTGAATAGATACAGGCTTTTAAGCAGATGTTACAAATCATAAACCCACCACAAGTTTCAAAAGTGCCTAACTTAATCACCTTTGGCCAAAGAGGCGCTATCAAACAATCAAGCTATGAAAAGGTGGAAGCCTCCTTCGCCTTCAGAAAAGAAGAGCACAACACCCCAACCACAATTCAACACATGTTACTACCTAAAAATCCAAACAAACAAATCTTGACAACCAAATAAAGACCTAGAAGCTCGGATGCAAGCTATGAAAAAAGAGCTAAAAATGAAAACAGTGGCATTTGAAGATGACTTAAGTTATTGGAGACCTTACCCTTAACCAAAGAAATCGATAGGGCCATGCCCCTCAAGGGGTTCAAAATGCAACCTTGGAAACCTATTATGGTACTTTTGACCCTTTCGATCATTTAGAACTTTATAGAACTAACATGATGATGTAAGAGGCAAATGAGGCTCTAATGTGCAAATGCTTGGCTACTATACTAAAGGGCGCAGTTCGATTCTAGTACAATAGCTTAGAACTAAGGTTAATTATGACATTCAAATAGCTCAGCCACTTTTTCTTATCTAGGTTTGTAAGTAGCTGAAGAGTGAATAATATGACTCTACGTTTGATGTCAATCCACCAAGGTCGGAATGAAACTTTGAAGAGTTATGTCATTCGTTTTAATGCGAAAGCTTTATAGGTTAAAGACTTGGAACAAACGACCATTGTAGCCTCCCTAATAAGTGGACTCAATAACAAATAGTACCACATGAAGCTAACATTATCTCTAAAACCACTTTAAACTCTTGCTGACATTTTGTTGATGCTAAAAAATATATAAATGCTAAAGCTACAATGAAAAACAATCTATGTGAGAGATGTTTATGTTCTCTAATAGGCTGCTGAGGTGATAGAGGCTCATCTCTCCTCATCGGTCATAAGAAAAGCAATGATTTCTATGAGTCTCCCCCAAAAGAGATATGATATAAGGTTAGAAGCTTTAGTGGAGAAAGGAACCACACTATATTAAATACCTTTTGAGAGAGGATTCTAATATAAATTGAGCAAAATTTTTACCTTTAATTACCGAAGCCATTGAGACAGAACATGAAAAGGGATCTGACTAAAAGATTTACCTTTTATAGAGATATAGGTTATAATATCGAAGACTACATTAACCTAAAAAATGAAATTGAAGCTCTGATAAAGAAAAGTCAATTGAAGAAGTTTGTAGAACAATGAAGATAAGGCCAATCTAGAGCGAACTATAGACAGTATCGAAAAAAGCCCACTCGAGGTAGAGAAATAAGGTAAAAAAATAGAAGAAGAAAAAATTATAAAGATGAGCCGAGGCAATAAGAAGGTTGAACTGATAATAATAAGTCGATCATCAGAGTGATTGATATGATCACTTGAAATCATTCCACCTTGGCCAAAAAGAAATTCAATCTAAGCATGGTTATGGTAATAGGCACCTTGACTAAAAAAAAAAAATTAAAAAGATGAGTCAATCTAATTCAGCTTAAAATTTTTTGAAAGAATCCAGTATCAAATGATGATGCCATAGTGATCACGATCGTAGTGTATAGTTATATAGTCAAGAGAACCTTGTTTGAGAATAAGAGCTCGATCGATGTCATGAACTATAGCACGATAAACAAAATGAGAATTGGTGAAGATCAATTACAGTCGATTACCACAACATTAGTAGGATTTAAGAATGAACAGATGCTTGAAAAAAAAGCAATCAAACTACCAATCTCTTTGGAGATAGAACTAAGGACAACCACTTTGGTTATAAAATTTATGATGGTGGACATCCCATCAGCCTACAATATGATATTGGGTCGACCTAGTCAATTTGTTATGTAGCTTATAGGCTCAGCTCCCTATCTGAAAGTAAAATTTTTAACACCCAATGGGGTTAGAGAGGTTAAGGGAGACCAATCTATGACACATCAGTGTTATGTCATAATAATGAAAAGAAAGACTAGAAAGCTGATTGGCGGTTTGGTTAAGAATAAAAGCACTAAAGAAAGATAAACAACAGAAATTGACAAGAAGCAATAAACCATAAGCAAGAACAAAGAACATAAGACCAACCTGACAGAAGCGTGTTCTTAAGTCGTTTCGAGCTCTTAAGTTCTAACAAAAAAAACTTTTGTTTTATTTTTTAAATTTATTGAGGTAACTCTAAAGATAATCGAGTTTTTAAGTCGACGTGAATAATTATATGTCATTTAGATTGAGCTAACAAGTAAGTCAAAATACATTTTGAAATGAAAAATACATACCAATTTCACTACATACATATTTAGCAAGTTATCCATAATATATTAATTATTACATAGGAATCTGTTTTCGTAAAAAATGATCTTGACCTAATTGAACAAAAAGAGATAATTGATTAAAGATCGAACTCAGATAAAAGGTGACCTAAGCTGCCCTAAGATTTTATAACAATTTCATTTTAGGATAACATCTCTGAAAAATGATGCAAATCGAAACTAAACTTTAACATAAAGATTAGTTAATTCAATTATTAAAAGATAATACGACCTATTCGCTTGAACATTGTCCAATATGCCTGGTATTGATATCAAAATGATGGTCCATAGGCTGTATACTAACTCCAACATAAAATCAGTTCGGTAAAAAAAAAAGAATCTTTACCATAGAAAGACAAAGGGCCATTTAGAAAGAGGTCGATATATTACTGCATGTCGATTTTATCAGGAAAGTCTACTATTTTAAATGGATAGCCAACATGGTCATGGTTAAAAAGCACAGTAAAAAATAAAAAATGTGCATAAACTTTACTGACTTGAATAAAGCATGTCCAAAAGATAACTTTTCTCTTTCTAACACAGATCAACTAGTGGATAACAGTGCTGAGCATGGCCTCTTCAATTTTATGGATGCCTATTCTGGTTACAACCAAATCAAAATGCCAAAAAACAACAAGGAAAAGATTACTTTCTTTACTGAAAAAAGCTTTTATTGTTACAAAGTGATACTTTTTGGACTAAAGAATGCAGAAGCGACCTTCAAAGGTTAGTAAATAAGTTGTTTAAAAATCAGATCAATCATATTATTGAAGTATATATGAACAACATGATAGTCAAAAGTAAAAGCTTGATTGAGCACATGAAAAACCTTAAAGAGATGTTCAGCACCTTGAAAAAATATAATATGAGGCTCAACCTGAGCAAATGTGCCTTTGTGGTCGCATCAGATAAGTTTTTCGATTACATGATCAACAAAAGGGGGATAGTGACAAACCTAAAAAAATTTAACTAATCTTAAACATGAAGGCACTGACTTTAATAAAAAAAGTACAAAGGTTAACTGATAGAATAGCCACCCTGATTTAATTCATATCCAGGTCGACAGAATGATGTCTGTCATTTTTCAAAATTTTCAAAATATCTTTGACTTTAGGTAGACCCTTTAATGTCAAAAAGCTTTTGATATACTCAAAGTGTTCTTATCCTTTCTACCTATTTTGTCTAAGTCAAGAACCGATAAAACCTTATACCTATACTTGGTCATCACATACTAAGCTATCAACTCAGTTTTGGTTTGAGAGAAGGAGAAAAAGCAAAAATCAATGTATTTTGTGAGTAAAGTATTAACAAGGCCAAAAGTTAACTACAACAGTATAGAAAAGTTAGCTTACATAGTTATCACTTAGATAAAAAAACTTGGGCCATATTTCTAAGCCCATGTGATCCATGTATTGACTGACCAATCATTGAGATAGGTCTTATAGAAGTTAAAA